TTATGAGAGATCCAGGAACTGCAAGCATGGTGACCAGCAAGAGGAGACAGAATCTGATCTCAGAATTATCCAGGAAAATTAAAAAACAAATAGGATGCAATTCAAACACAAGAACAGCATATGGCAATGCAAGAGAAGTAAACAACTGTACAAACACATGGAGGAAATTGCCTATTCAGTAATAAGTCTGCAAAAATTCAAACACTCCAGAGAAATGACAGGTCATGAACGGGCTGTGTCAGCACACTGCTGTGAAAAAGGAAGCCTCCAACTGGGAAATGCAAAAAGGAGGGACATCAGGACAACACAGAAAGAAACTCCCCTACTCCAGCTGTTACTGCCACAGCTTGGCAACTGTGCAATGTCCATTCTTGGCATTCCAGAGTGCAAAAGGCAAAAGGGAGAATGACTGACAGGCCAAAACGTGATGTCTGAGAAAGCACTGAAGAAACCAACACGGCTTAATTTAGAAAAGAAAGTAGGCTTAGACAAGATGTTGGCTCTCAAAGAACTAAAATCATTGCTTCTAGAAGGAAATTCAGTAGTAGGAAGGGAAGGCAAAGCAAAGCAGGGCAGTTAAAGCAGGGCAGGCAAAGAAGGGAAGGCAAAGCAGGGATGGCAAAGCAGGGAAGGCAAAGCAGTCTTCAAGGAAATTCAGCTCCACAATGGCTTTGATACCAGGCCCTGTCCTGTGATTGCAGTTCTTCCCTGATCAGTCTCAGCAACCACTCATTCAACTCTTCCTTACATGTTGGGAATGCCCAAGGTTTGCTGGCAACGCCACATTCCTCCAGGGCCCTGTTTTTTAGGAAGGCTGTAGGGGAGATGATGCCAGAGCTCTGCTTCTTTAGCCTCAGTCTGCCTCATAGGACATGGGCACTTGGCAGTCACTGCCACTTCTCCTCCCTCCCTGCAACAAGTGTTGGGTGTGCAGAGACATTTCCCACCATGCCCACAGTAATCCCTGTCCATGTGGCTATCAGGCACTCTTGGGAAAAACATTTCAGGCATGAATATTTTTGATTATGATCTTGTGGCCTGAGCTCTGCCAGCCTGGGCTTGTTTGGTTTAAGAAGGAGCCAAGAAAGTGCTGCTGACAGGGCAGTTACCAATGACCATGCAAGACATGAAACAGCAAAAGGCTCATCCCCACTAGCCCGGGACAATCTCTATAAAGAAACCACCACAGGTTTGAGCTGTGACACAGTGCACCCTGTTCCCCATGGCATTCTCTCCTTGCAGCACAAACTCCAGCCCCAGGACTCCCCGGGACACCTGCTGTGCTCTGGGCACAGGCCTGAGCCAGGGACAGCCAGGGCAGCTGCAGCCGCCCGGTGTGACCAAAGCCCATCGAGGCAGGGGACCCTGGCTGCAGGGCTTTCCCCATGGCAAGGACGGAGGCAAAGCACTTTTGCCAGGCCTGACATCTCAGGGAGGAAAGACAAGTAAATTGGTGGGAATTTGTGGGAAACTAAGTGTAAACACAACAGGAGAAGGAAGCCCCCCCAGGCTGAGGGACCAGGGAGCCACCCCAGGGCGCAGCTGGGTGCTAGGACAGGACTCACGATGGTCCGAAGAGGAGGACAATTTCTCTCCACAAGTGAGTCCAGCTCCGCTGTCCTGAGTTTTTTAGCTGAAAGTCGGTGGGACAGGACTCAGGAACATCAGATACCAGTTGCCAATGGGCGACAGTGGGCACTGGCGCTGGGCCGTGTCTGAAGGAGAGACGCTCCCGTGCCAGCCCTGAGGGCCATGTCCCGCTCTGCGGCCCCGCGCGTGGGCTCGGCCGTTCCCGCAGGTTTTACTCCCATCTAGCGGCGGATCCCGGCTCCACACGGCGCTCGGCAGCCAGGAGAAGGCACCCGGGGTTCCGCGGCTTGGCTCGGGCCGCGGCAGTCAGAGCCCCTCGCTGCCGAGGGGACGAGGTGGCACAGGCAGGGCAGGGGCTGGGGGCTGCCCTGAGCGCGGGCCGGCTAAGGGGTCGTTCTTCAGCCTGCGCTCTGAAGGGTTCTTCCCCCTCTCCCACAGAGCTCTCAGTGAAAAACTCATGTTTAACATCTACCCCAGGTTCTGCCCGAGCTGCAACACCTCAGTTTGGGCTTATCCTCCACCTTCTCGGACCCTCATCTCCCTCCAAAGTTTGGACCATGCTGGATGAGACCCCAGCAGACATGGGCACAATGGATCATGTGGCACCATCAGCAGGAGCTGCAGCAAGTGTCTGGGAATGAAAATTTGGATCTTTCTCAGCGCTGGGCAGCCTGGAAGGGAATAAAATTACATCATTCGTCATAGCACGAGCCCATTTTGTTAGGCACAAAAGACCAGTGTGGAGAAGTTCAGAGGGTAGAATCCACTGAAGAGAAAAATCTAATACTCATCTGTGAACCAAGAGCAGTTTATAATTTTTCCAAAACCCTGCAAGGGTATATGATATAACAAACAGCTCCAGACAGTCTGCTCTTGCAAGTACTTTGTCCCAGCCCTGAAACACAGGGGTTTTCCCAGCAGCTGCTTTAAACTCAGTCCATTTTTTTAAACTGCTGGCAAACTGGCACCTCTTTTAGAACAGCCCACTGAGGCAATAGGCAATGGTCCCACACAGACTGTGTGAGCCAAGTTGGACAGCACAGGCAACCACAGCCCCTGGAGCAAGGGGCAGCTCGGGGATGGCAGCTGGGACCAGGCTGACAACCAGGATAGCAATAGGAGACAGGAGAGCTAGAAGGTATGAAGCTGGCAGCTGGAGCTCAGAAAGATGGAACCAGGGCTCCTGAAAAACAAATAGGGAAGGCAAACTCATACAGGATTATTTCTTTTGGCTGCTGATTTGCTGTCAGTGGAGCCATATGATGAGGTGGTGGGGAGGCACCCAGGGGTGAGGGCAGAAGCCCATTTTCAGGTGCCCATATGGCCTTAGGTCAGATTAAGCCAACTAAAACCTTATCCTAAAGCTCTTTCCTGCAGCAGGAAGCCCAGCTGCTGTGGAGTGGGAAAAAATCAGGTTCTTGGTTCCTGGCTCTGCAGCACTGCCTCTCAACCTCTCCTCTCCACACTCACAAGCTCCAGCTTTCTGTAAAGCACAGGACACATCCCGCCTATCCTGCTCATCACTGTCTTTCAAAATCTTCCCATAAACCTGCTGGTTATTTGGCAGGCAGACACATCTAAGTGCTCTGTGCATCCTACTTTACAGCAGAGTTGAATTCCCAACGTTTTGTTGTCCTACAAGTCTCACTCTGGTAAGGGGCCACTCACAGCCCACACAATTGATAAATCATGTAGGAATATTTCCCTGTAATGCCCCATAATAATAACGCAAATAATAAACATAAAATATCTACGGCCCTTTCCATGTCCCAGTGCCACTAGATGGCACCAGGAACGTACCCTTCCCAGCCCGGGTGTTCCCAGGGCCACGGGGAAACTGGCGAATCCAGCCCAGCCCTTCCTTGCAGCAGTCAGACCTCAGCACTCGTGTCCTCCTTGTCTTTTCTTCATGGACCGTGGGGTACTGCACTAAAGGCAGGCATTTCAGCCTTAAAATCCAACCTTTAGTGATGTGCTGGGGGGAATAGCCTGTGGTGGCTTTTGCCATGTTGCCTGCCACACACACCCTCCTTTCAACATCTGTGGACCAGGCACCACATCCAGCTGGGCACTGGAGAGGAAAGCCTCAAAGATGGGTGCAAGTTATTCTGATTAATATTGGGATTAACGTATGAGTTTCCCATCACTAACAGGCTCCTCTTGGGAGGGACGGGAATAAAACACAATTTACTATATAATTTTGCAGTCAGAAGGTTTGCCTTCTCTGAGGTCTCACAGTTTTAGGGATTGATTCTCCTCATGCACATTTGATATCCAACAGAGCTCAGCATACTCAACAGAGTATTACCTGTGGTTTTCACTATCAAGCCTGTCACATCCTTGGCAAAGCCACTAAATAAGCCAGGGAAGCACAGGCAGCACCTCAGGAGATGTCAGGTCTTTCCTCAGACCTTGCAGCATAATTAAGGATCATCTGCTTTCCACTGCCCTCAGCATCAAGCCCTGAAGGTGACCCTCAGAAATGGCAGCTCAAATGAGGGGATTGCTGCCGAGGCCCTGTAGCAGCACTTCAAAAGCAGCCAGCCAAACCCTGGCCCCCAGCAGTGTGGGGCACTCAGGTGACAAATCATTGCTCATCACACAGCCCTTCTGCCCAAAGCAGAGCTGGAGAGGTGATGGAGCACAGCTTCCAAAAGAGCCAGGGCAGCTTGTCACTCCTTCCTGCCCACATCCCAAGCTTGGTGTGTCTGGGTGATGAGTGAGCATGGCAGTGGCACAACCCTTGTGCCAAGGGGATCCCATTGAAACCCTAAGTGAAAAGGGAGTGGGAGAGGGACTTTGTGCAGGGAGCCTCTGAGTGATCCTGTCCTGCTCACGGAGGTGGAGTCACTAGAAGAAAGGCCAAATGGGAGATGCATAGCACAGCTCCATGGTGGCGCTGGCAGGCTGGTGGCAATGGCAGGGCTGTCCCTGCCCACATCCCAAGGCCACAAGATAATCCTACAGGAGGATCCTGAGTGTGACCCTGCTTCCCAACCCTCATCAGAGAGTGACACAAATCCCACACAAGCGCTTTAACCCCAGGTTAGGGTGAAAGCTAGAAAGGAGGAGGCTGGATCACTTGGGAAGTTCAGGTCACACAATCGAGTGGGTTAAAATCCCTCACCCATTCCATCAAACAAGGCAAATCCCTCATTCTCCTTCCCTGCAGCCTCTCCTCCCCTCCCTGTTCACCTCAGACAGTCCTAGGGAGTGACCCAGCATTCCCTTGCCACTGCCTCCCCCCCAGGGAGCCTCCCCACACACCATCTGCTCTCTGCAGGAGACTTGTGGGTACCCAAGGACATCCCTCCCACACCATCTTCCTCCACACCAGCCTGCCTCCCCCCATCACCCCCAGCCAACACATCTGGGCCCTCTGGCTCTGGAAAACTTCATTAAACCTCATGGACAAGCTCAAGTCTTTATTTGGTCTCTCCATGAGTGGATGTTTCACACATGGTGCAAAAACTTGCTGCTACAAAACCTCATTGATCTGCACACAGCAATGGCAAGCCTGGTGCCCCTCAGGGCTCCCAGCTGCTGATTCCAAGCAGAACACACCCTTGTCTGGCTGCAGATGTCAAACAGCACAGATACACATCGACATCGACATGTGCATGGCTAGAGCTGTCCACATGCTGAAGGATTATTTTTAGCCCAACAGTGATGGAAATGTCAGAGAGGGTTTTATTTCTTTCCTCTGGAAGGCTTGTTGCTTGAAATCCCCATTGGCAGAGGCTGACCCTGACCCTGCCATTACAATAGGGTCTGTCAGCCAGGTCTGACATTCCATCCCATCCTTGAAAAAATGTGCAATTCAGCAGGAGGGGAGAGTGACTGGCCCAGAGTGCCTGGAAGGGCTGACAGCCTTCAGAAGGCAGGTGCTCACCAGCTCCACAGCCCAACCCATGCCCACCCAGACAGGCTGCAGCTCCCCCAGATTCCCCAGCCTTCCAACATCCCAGGGAAGGTCTCACTGAAGCGACAATGGACAGCTATGAAACATTAGGGACACCAGCACTGGCCTTTTGAACAGCCAGGCAGTCAGGAAGGGCAGGCAGGCCATGGGATGCTCTCACCACCCTTCAGTGACAAGAGGGACGAAGTGTAACAGTGCCAAGGTCTCCTGGTGCCCTGAAAGCACACAGAGGACTCCCTGGAGATGGTGTTTCTTCCTTCTCCTCTGACACTCACCTCATGCTCAGCACTGCATCAGGAACAAAGCTAATGACAATTACAAACCTGCTCCTTTCCAGCTCACAGGAGCCTATCTGCACTGAGGGCTCTGGGATGGGGCACCTGTGTCCCTGGGGTGATGGCACAGCACTGCAGAATGTCACAGCACCCAGATGGGCCTGCACTTCTCAGGGTATCAGGGTATGGCATGTCTGCTGCTACACACATTGACAGGTTATGCACAAATTTTCCCTCTTCTTGTTAGGGTAGCAGACTTGAGGGGGAATGGTTGCTCAGAAAAGCAATGGCACATCTGAGGTAGAGTTTTTTGGTGATGGCGTCAAAGAGGAGCAGTAATGGCCTATATTCACACAATAGCAAAAGAGGGCTTTGAAGCACATCCTGCTTAGGGCCTGTGACCAGTCCATAGATAACCAGGAAGAAAAATCAATGTTTTTCCTTCAGAACTTCCTATTTACATCTGAAAACTAGCAAAGACCTTGCCCAGAGGCTGAGACAAATGCCTCCTTTTACTGCCTGCTTGTCATGAGGTATTCCCCTCCCTCTCCAAGAGGAAATTTCCAGTAACTGTGATATAAAAATTAATGCAAGACTATGCTCCAGAGGCAGCTGTAAAACTCATACAGGAAGGGCTCCCTATCCCACACCTCACCATGGCAGGCTGCCCCCAAAGCATGTCACAGCCTTCCTGAGAGAGGGAAGAGGCAGCTCAGTCTGCACCCTCCTGGTGCAGGTCAGGCTTTGGGGAGTAAACTGAGGTGCCCAGACCTGCAGGCATTGCCAGCACAATCAGCCAGGCAATATTCCCTAACAGAGGTCTTGGATCCCTCGGGAGGTTACAATGCTGGTACACTGTGTGGTGCAGCAGTCCCTGGTTTCATTGGAGATTTCATGGAACAAGGGGCAGAAACAGAGAGGAATTCAGTGAGGAGAAACCCTCCCCCACACTTGCCACATCCTGGAAATAACCACCAGGACTCAGCCAAATGGCAATCTCTAGGAAATTTTGAAGAAATGTCTTTTGACCATATCCCATTCATCTTCCTCCTGACTTTACATATAAGATTATGACTTGAGCCTCATGGTTTTCCTTAAAAAGTGCAGAAATTTTGTCTTCCATGGCTGACAGGCTTCTCCATGCATCCAGCTGCATATGAAGCTTTCAAGGAGCTGTGGTTGCAGACACTGGCACAGAAAGCAAGGACTCATGTTTCTCCAAGCAGGCCTGAGGGAAGGCAAGAAAAAAGCTGGGTTATTAAATAGCACTCGTCAGAACATGTGCAAGAATCAAACAGCAGAAACATCCCTCCTGTGCACACTCTTGCATGAAGCTGTATCCACACTTACCTGCTGAAATCCTCCACTCCTCAATCCCTCCTGGGCTAAGCAATCCTTGGGCAGCACCCCCACTGCTGCCTGCCCTCCCCAGCCAAACCTTCTCACTCCTCTTCTGGAAGGACATTTCGTGCTAACATGAAACAACCAAGACCAGTGTTCTTCCAAAGTCCTGCCACCTCCATATACAGGAGGGAGAAATGTGTTTCTGGCTGGGAGGAAGCAGCTGATTCTCAGAGAGCCTACAGGTCACACCCCAAAGTATGGCAGCAAAATCACAGGGCTGGGATGGAAGGAGGAAGGTGGCACATCCCATAACTGATTTCACCTTTACTGAAACCCCTGAGCTTGGGTGTGTCCACCACACTGCAAACTCAGCTGGCTCTGCTGGGATTTGGGAGCCTATTTACCCAGGGAATTTCAGCAAACAGGAGATTCAGGGACTTACAACGCTGCTTTAAAATGTTCCTTGATATCTTTACTAAAGCAAAGGGGATACTATGGGTAATTTCTTTAAAGCAGGGTATAAACACGGGTGGTTGACAGCCAGTTCATTATATCAGAATCAGTTTTCATTAGGAGGGGAAGCTTTTGTGCTTATTAATTGTTTCTCTAAGTGTTTTCTTTCCCTGCTACTAGTGCAGCCTGCTGTCTGCCTGTGCCTGGAGGGCAGAGTCCTGCATACCTCATCCCTGATCTGTTAACATGGGTAACTATAAATAAATAGTGACACCTGAGAGTGGAGGAGGAAAGGGACTGTGCTTCTCAACCTCAGGCTACTTCAGCTTATGCAACAGAAGGTAACTGCTGACAATCTGTAGTTAATAACTGAGCAGGACTATTTCTGAGGGCTCTGACCTGGCCAACATAAAACAAAATTCTCTACCTCTGAGCTGGAGCTGGATAACTTTGGACTAACAAGCAACTGTCAGTTATTTAAAGTGAAGAAAATAGCTGCATGTTTTCCACTAAGCAGCAATGAGGAACTGCTTAACTTTGAAATCTGCTGCAAATTAGCCTCCTCTCCCCGCCCCCCCCCCAAAAAAAAATGCCCATTTGTGATTATGAAGGAGTCCCTTGGGAGACTGAAAGGTGACTGCAAGTGCCCCAAATGAGGGCCAGCATGCAGTGGGCATGCTTGCCTCTGGTTCTCACAGCACAGCACAGTCAGCTAAATGGGGCCAAGCCTGGTTTAAATAACATAGCTGTCATGGAGGGGGCAATGGTGGGGCTCACATATCCTTCCCCTCATCAGAGAAGCAGGAGGATCACTGAGAGGATCCTCCTTGGCTTGTCCTGCTAGGAGGCAGCAGCACTTGCCTGGGAGACCATGCCCAGGCAGAGGGTAAGAGCTGGGAGGGAGGTGATGCTGCAGAGAGACCTTGCTGCAGGGACACACAGACAGGAGTGAAAGATGGGGAGGAAGAGCCAGCCCTGTCTTCTCCTTTGTCCCTGCTGTAACCTGAATCACTCATCTAAGAATTCAGCACCCTGCACTGCCTACAACACAATGCTTCAGGGTGTGGAAGTCTGCAGGAAGAGAGAGGGAAGTAGAGCCAGTGTATGGAGCAATGAGGACCTTGGGGAGGTGAGGCTACAGCTCCACCTCCCTGTAAGAAGTGTGTCTGGGCAGGTACACCTTACACACAAGAACACTCACACACCCACCTTTGCTAACAGCAGAGACAGCCACAGAGTCCATATTTTCTAGGTTTTACTTCTATATCTGCAAAAAGCAAGTTTGTTTCTGTTTCTGAGTCACTGCAATTATCATGAAATGCCTTCAAGAGAGCAGCTCTGTCTTCTCGGCTGAGCGAATCTTTGATATCCAGCACTGCACTCAGATGTTCCTTCCTTTCCAAAAGGACAAGAGGACAGTAAGTGAATGAATCAAGGAAAAAAAACACATTTGTTTCCTATCCCTCAGTTTTGTTGGACCAGACCAAAGACTGGAAGCTGCTTTTTGACGCCCTCTGGCTATCTAATGGGGAGACCATATCCCAAGAGCTGTGTGGGACAAGGCTGAGCTCACAAGTCCCAAGCCCAGAGCACACAGCATCCCTGTGAAATATTGAAAATGTTCAGCTTAGGTTATTCCTAGAAAAAGACCTGTATCCATCATAATAAGTTTCAGATAACTCTACATTTGACCATTTGGAGTCATTTTTGGTATCTTTTCTCCCCTCAAATGGAGCTAATTCTTGTTCATCTGGAAAGTTACAGGATTTGTGTTCTACAGAGCACTGTTCCCCTGAGCAGAGAAATACTGTAGTGGATATAAGGCAAATGTATCCAAGCCAAACAGTTTGAAACAGAAATCTGTTGTAGTCAAGAACAGTGCATCCACTCACACCAGGATGACCTCCTCTGAGATCTGGGTCTTCTGAGAACTTTCTATGCCTACTTCCTATACTATGTATATACATATATATATCATTGCTATGCTGATCAGATAAGCAGCTTTTTAGCTCAATAGCACCTTCGAAAGTAGTAAAGTAAAAAAGAACTAAGAAACCAGATGAAGCATAACATAATCTCTTTGTCTTTCTTTTTATTTTTTTTATTTGCCTACAGCAGTCCTTCCTAAGAAGTCTAGAGACTTCCCTTGCTGCAGGTTTATATGATGACTGTCACGTTGAATAGGCACTGAAGTCATTATCTGCCACAAATTGTCTGCCCCACATTTGAAGGTATTCAAACTTTTGGCCTTCATAGCATCCTGTAACAGAGAGCTCTACACTGCAATAATGTTAATTTGGAAAAACACAGGCACAGCACATCAGAACAAAAGATAGATGGAATAAACCGCAGGCTTTGGAAAAAAAAAATGCAGTTATTTAAGATCTTTCCTTCCTAGTAAAACCCGTGTTTCAATTCTGTTAAATTTGCTGTAAGAAATACAAGTGTATATTCTTGCTGAATACACCTAGAAATTTCTGAAAATAGTTATACAAGGTTAGATGAGGTGTTGAAGCCAAAAGCCAAGTGCTTGGAATCTATGAAATGCCCAAATTAAGGATGTTCTTGAAACCTACATTTGACACATATACTCCTGTAAATTCTGCATTAAGGTGGTACTTTTCCACAGCATTTCTGCTTTGTTGACAGCAATTTCATCCATCCTCCACCTTTACAGCAGGACATCTCAACTTCAGCAGTTCATGTCTGACAAGGATATAAACCAGGCACCAGTGAGTACATTCAAAAGGTCACTGTGCCTGGCCCAACACACTGCAAAAGTATCACAGCACCAACATTGCTGTAGGTCTTCTGGGTTCAAGTAATCATGTAGGAAAGTACAGAAGTCAAACCAAACAAAGACATTACCTGAGGTCAGGAAATTCTTTTAGTATGGGCAGAAGTGCTATTTTCATCCCCTCAGGATCAGAAGTTTGAACAAGTTCTAAAATTGCTTTTATGGGATCCTTGAGAGAACCAGCTGCAGGACCCTGGGGAGAAAAGCCAGTTGTGTTCAGAGCAGGGGAAACAGTACAGCACATTAAGAGCTGGACTTGTGTCAGACTGGGGATCTCTCTGGGTTAGGAGCTTTGCAGGAGTGTCTGTGCGTGTACAGAAGTCTGATTTTACCCCAGGGTAGCAGAAAAGGACCTGGGGAGTAGTCACAGACTGCTTCCAGGGTCGTTGGGCAACCATTTTCAGCAGCACAGAATCTCCTCCTGCACTTCCTTTGGCAAAGCTGGCAATTCTCATTTTTCCCTAAACTGCCTTTCCTTCCAGGGCCATTTCACCTCATGGGACATGGTTTGCTTCTGGACGTAAGCATAGCCCTGTGCTTGACCTGTGTGAAAATAAGCCTTGTTGGCCAAACATGCTGGCATTTCTGCCACCCCAAAGCAAGCCCAGGGACAGAAAAGCAACCTTAGGGAGAGGATGAGAGAACACAGATCCTCTAATAGAAAAAAAGTGGGAAACAGGGCTGGACAGTGTAGAAAACATATGGTTGGTAGATGTTGCACACGATGATTCTCCCTCTAATCTGGAGCACACAGAAGGAAAAAGTCTCATCAAAAACACACAGCATTTTTAGCAGAGCTGGAGAAGCAGAATGCAGATGAACCATCAGGAAGAGAGTTTCAGGTCTTGCTCACATTTTTCATCAGTGCAGTAATGCAATTTAATTGCTTCCCTGAATTATTGATGCCACCACATCAGCAGAGACTCTGTGACAAAGCAAACCTGGAGAACGGGCTGCCAAACTGGGGCAGGAGAAGCCCAGGTTCCCCTGATCTGCAGGGGCCATTAAAAACAGCAGGTCACATTCTCCATGCGGCACCTCTGCAATGAACATAAATTAAAAATAATAATAATATTTGAAGACAGCCTTCCCCCTCTCCCTCTGCACTGCAGGCACACAGCATGTCTAGCTCTGCTCAGTGCACAAGCTGTACTCAGCTCCTGAGGCACTGGGACTGTACAGCTTCATACTTGGCAAGCTCACTATTACAAAATGCTAATTAATTTGAAGGCGTCAGATTTAGTTAAGCACTACATAGGCAGGCAAGGTCAGAGGTAAGCAGCCTGCAGTCTAAAGGGAAAAAAAAAGGTGTTTTGTCAGCAGTGTTTAAGTGCCTGTGACACATACTGCTCTTAGGAGAGAAGCAAGGTATTTCCTAATGTGTTTTGAGAGCAGAGGGGAAGGAAGAGCCCAAAGAGAGGGCAGAGCAGGGCAGGGAGCAGGTGCAGCCTGTGCAACAACTGCATGATAAATTCAGTCTGCAGCAGAGTTCATATTTCGCATGCATAACCGTGAGCCTCGTGACTAAGGAGCAGGCTGTCCCCTGCAAATCTCTTGTGCATTTCACCTCCAAGGCTTTCAGTGCTCTCACATCAAGTAGGAAAGTGCACACACTGGGGATACTGGGAAAAATGGTCTAACCAGATGCAGCCCTTTTTCACCCAAGCTTAATGTATGGCTTTAAGAGATATTAGATTTCTTCTATTTCCTTTGCACTGTTCCATGCATGTTACATCCAAAGCTGATGCTGTGCACAGCATTTCTGGTAAACATCAGAGTTAAGATTAGAGAACCTTCCTGCTATTCCCCATGTCTCAATTGCTGAAAGCATTAATTCATCTGTGATCGATCACTCCAAGAGAGGTGGGTCTTCAGCTAAAAGCACTGGCAGTTTCCAGCTTTCTGCCATGAATCTAATGCATTAACTATAATGGGTCTGAGAGGATTTTAGAGAAGCCTACAGACAATCATTTTTATTTCATTTTATTCTTTGGACAAGGTAAGAATTGCTGACATATGGCTTGCAAGGGACTCATCTGTGAGAAAATAGCTTTTCAGTCCCTAGCACTTAAATAGGCAAGTTGTGAGAATGACTCAGCATTTGTGAAATCATTAAAACCAATGTAGCCAAGGGAGTTTATATGCTGTCACATCAGAGTCCTGCTACCAGAATGACTTTGCACCCACTGCTGTGCTGCTCAGCCCAGCCCTTATGAAGCACCATGCCTGGGCATTCTCAGCCTGCATTGCTAATGAGCCATGCCAGGGACATTGGACAGCAGTGATTCTCCAACTGGACCAGCTGAAGGAGGGAACGCTGCTGCCAGTGCAGTCCTGGCCCTTGGGTAATCAAGGGACTCATGTGACAGCCTGGTGGCATTCGCAGATGCTGTGTGCGGCACTGCCAATTACACCAGATTATGAGGTGAGACTTTTTAAAGCTTCTGAAGTTGTTTCTGCAAATCAGAACCAGCACTTCTGCACAAGTTTTCTTCAGAGGTGTGGCTCTGCTTTTACACCCAATCTTCTGCAATATGCCTTCACCTCCTAATGGTGTGAGGTGTTTACCCCTGCAGGAAGACTCGTTCCTCCCCACAACCATCAGCAACCACAACAGCATCAGCATGTTTTTGCCATGAGGAAATGCCACAGCACAGGGAAATGGCTCAGGCAGCCATCATCCCAGTTCTGAGGGGTTGGGAAGGGCCTGTGGGGAGGGAGGAGGTTGGACGGAGGGGTGGCAATGCACACCCCATGTCCAGGGAGGAGCAGCCTTACAGGGCAATCCACAGAGCGGCGGAGGTGTGGAGCAGCCTGTTTGCTTCATCACTCCAGAGGCTCAAGGGTAAGCACTGCCACCCCATGCCAGGTACCAGAGGCCTGATGGGGGCGGCTGGCAGCTTTGGAGCTGTCTCACCAACTCAGAGGAGCACGCCCCATTCTTGTGTCAGTGGCAGCAGCACAAAACTTGCATCTTCCAGTCACACATTTCAAAACCATGAACAGCTTCTGACAGATCAGAAGGGCTGTCAGCACATCTGACTGTCATTTCAGTGAAGCTTGATACCCCTGTGGTAAAAACTCTTAAGCTTTTTTGTAGTTTTCAGAGTCTCTTCCTCTGCTGGCATTGTTCTTGATGACAAAGAGCAAAACTGTAACAATATCAAAGACTTACTAAGCACTCTTTAAAGATGGTTTGCATCATCCTATGATCTTCTTCTATCTTGTTGACAATCCTCCTCCTCTGCATAGCAGATGTTTTCCTGGGAGTGGTCAGGAGGGCCTGCATGTATTCTGTAATAATGATGGCATTGACAGCCTTGACGAGGACCTGTTCCAGAGCAAAGATACCCAGATTAACTTCCTGCACCAAGCAAGGCTCAGACCACACCTGTACCGGGGCAGACAGCAGATATTCTGCCCGTGCAGATGGCTGTCTCATTTCGTTGTTTAAGTATTAATTTAAAATGCTTGATCTAACACTTGGACTATCGCCAAGCTGCATGTGGATGACAAACCTTGATGGTAAGTGTGGAGATATCAAATCAAAAGCAATGGGACCAGTTAGCTGAGCCAGAGGTCACTCACACTCCAGAGCTGCAGCGACACTTGTCTTGGCTAACAAATTCATCACCTGGGGAGAGCTTGGGCTGCAGACAAAGCCAGGTGCAGCCTCCCTCGAGCATCTACACTTGACACAGGGCCCTTGGGCACACAGTTGTGGCTGGGCACAGAGAAGTCACCAGGGCAACTCCGTCTTAGCTCTCACTGCCTGCTGAGGAACCCCAGTGCAGAGACCATGCAGTGCTTGTCAGGGACAGTGAGTGTTTCTGATGGGGGTGGGCTGCTGCACAGAAACCGCATTTTGTTAGCAATTGAAATCAGAGCAGGGTTAGGCTGCAGTCCAAAGGTACAGGAAATCCCCAGCTCTGTCCAAAACAGACAAAGCAAGAGACAGAGAGCTCTGGCACAGTGTTTCATCACTAAGCTGCTGCTTGCCCCAGCACTAATGTGACATAATATCCAGTGACAGGCTTTGAACAACAGCAGAATAGATCCTACTTTTTTTCTCTTCCATTACTTTTTCCATATTGCAAAAGGTTAATTAAAATCATCACTGACAAAGGCACTGCAGACCTGTGAGTCCCGTGCTTAGGAGGACACGTGGCACATGTAGCAGCAGCAAATCCAGCCTGCACAAAAGAGAGGGTTCCCCAGCTACCAACCTCATTGCTGAAGAGATAGACTCAAGGGTGTTGTAAGATCCTAGACAAGTTATTTAGGGTACTGTAAAGGTAAAAAAACTTGGGTCCTTTGTGAGGTTGTTTGCCAATTACTCTGCATGAGATGCTATGCCCTTTAAGAATTTGGACTTTTCACTCCTCTGTGTCCACTCTACATCAAAGGGATCAATAATCCTTACAAATAAGGTTAAAGCACATTAGAAGCTGAGAAGTTTTCCAATATAATGGTATTGGGGCAATGGTAGGAGAGGAGGGAGCCCAACATTCCCCTTTGTACTTGAGGTACATTGAGTTTTCACATTTCTTCACTTGTTGGTTTCTCTGCTGAAATTACAGAAAGGTCCCAGCTGTCACTACCCAACCCTGGTGGATAGAGGTACTGGACTGAAACCATTAGAAAACCTAAAAGCCCATTTGACAACAGAGAAAACTGCAGTTTAGATTAATTTTCTAGTACTGTGCCATCCAAATGTTCAATTACTAGTTTTAGTGATTTCACAGAACAGAATGGTTTGAGTTGGAAGATACCTTAAAGATCACCTAGTTCAAACCCCCCTGCCATGGGCAGGGTCACCTTCCACCAGAACAGGTTGCTCAGTATCTTGCCCAACATGGCCTTGAACACTTCCAGAGATGGGGCATCCTCAGCTTCTCTGGGCAACTTCTTCCAGCACCTCACCACTCCCACAGCAAAGAACTTTCCCCTAAAATCTAACCTAAACCTATTCTCTTTTAGTTTGAATCCATTCCCCCTTATCCTTTTACTACATGCCCTTGGAAAAAATCCCTCCCCGTCTTTCTTGTAGGATGATTTCCTAAGTAACATATTGTTCTCGCTTTCTTACTTATTTCTTACCTCATAGGTATCTGTGTTTTTCTTCCCAAAGGTCAAAAAGTTTTGCTTTAAGGACTCAAGGATGTGGTCAAAACCACTGTCACACTTTTTGAAGTGGTCCTTCAGTGTTCCCTGAGGAAAAGAAACAGACAGAGTCAAAGGGTGCACATGTAGAGACACCAAACAAACAACAGACACAGATTATTGTGTCTTTGCTCTTTCTGCTCTTGGAAACAGATTTCTCCACCAATTGCAGCATCCTGTGTTTTTATTTCAAAGAAAATCAAAACATGAAAGAAAGAAACAATTCCAACTCAGGAAGGATGTACTAAGTTCTTAAGCTCAAGCCTGGTAGATTGAAAACCCGGGCCCTGGGCCTCCTGTTCCCCCCCAGGGTTGCCGGTGCTCTGTCAAAACCACCCCCAGTTCCCACATAGATGTGAGGGCCCATGGGACAGGCTGGCAATGAGCTCTGGAGACCAAAACTGCACAGTGTAGCCAGAGTTTCTCTTGTCATTTTCCTTTTGCTGCCGCCAGCGTGCCCGAGGGAGCCTGTGCAATGAGGCTGAAGATGCTCAGGGGAGCTTCCCAGGGAAATGCACAGGATCACACACTGCTAGGAGCCTGGAATTCTGTGTTTTCCAGACACAAGGGTGAAGGGTGTTTGGGCTAACAGACTGATACTAGAAAGTGTGAAGGGAGGGGACTTTATCTCAAGGCGGGGGACACATTTCTGCTCAGCCTTCTCTACATCCTGACTACCCAGCACAGCCCTGGGCTCTGTGAATTATCACTGTCCTGGGAAGATGCCCAGCTGCTGGGAATGAATAGGTACCAGGTGAAATTCAACTTTTTGGGGTCTGGGCAGCACAACAGCAAATGCTACAAACAGTGAAACTGGGGTCCCAAACCTGGAAAATGTGAAGCTGTCCACATACCGATTCTGACAAGGCAGAGAAGAATACTAGGTTTGAAGGCCAAACTATGGCTTCACCTTTTCCAAATCAGGACATGAGAGGGAAGTGCATGCCATCCATATGGTCTGCAAATAGTCAGAATTAAAATGGGTCTTCCATACCTTGAGTTTAGAAGTGATGGTCTGCAGAAAATGCTCCATAATGTCATCTTCCATCCTGTGTAGAAATCCATTTACCTTAACATTCTGATCAGTGCTGACACTGCAAATGTATGTTAGCTTATGCCAGACAGTTCTGTTTAAAAAAAATAAATATGGAAAGTATTGATCAGATCAAATCATGCTATTCTCTCAGATCAAAACTCTACTGTAACCAACACAGCTGCCTGGGTCATTGAATGGACACATGCTCAGGTCCAAAGCCAGCTCAGAGATCTGCATTTCTGTTCTCATTAAGACACTGCCACAAGGGCACAAAAGCTCAGTGCATGCAAATGCCACTTGTACCCATCACTAGTGAGATCAGACCAATAAAAATTCTAGTATTTTCAAAAATGAGCAAGCATGAAGCGGCCTTGACAAACAGAATCTGGGTGAGCATCCCTTGTGTCTTTGACAATCTACAAATACAAGAAAAACAGTTATCTTCTATCAGAACAGTCTTCTAGTTAGCAAATCCTGGTTAAAATTATCACCAGCTTGAAACCAGACATTCTACATTCTGGCAAGGCTCAGTGTACAACTTCATTCTAAGTAAAGCTGTGAAGGATTACATAAAAGATTCTCATAAGTATTCAGTCTAGGATCCAGCATCAGCAACATGCAAATACAACAAACAAAGCAGCTACCTAGGCTCAACACAAGGCTCTGTTGTCAAGTAATCACTGTGCATATGTTGGATTTTGGCATTTTGCTGACTCCAGAGATCCCTGGATAACTTTACACAGGAAGAAGAAAAGCAACCTTGTTTTTTCCATTGCTTCAAGTGCTTCTGACATTAGCTTGTAGGTGCAAACATCCTCCTCCACCCTTCTGTGCTTTACTGCTTCCCTCCTTCCTAGCAACCCCAAGGAGAGCCTGGCGTATTCCGTGGGATTTCATTCAGCAAAGCACTTAAGATTGCACCTACCAAGTGCAGTAGCACACACATCTCAGCATAACCTTTATGAGGCTTTCCTGCTGGAGGACCATCAGGCTGGGGAAAGGAAGGCTATCACAACCCACAGTGGGGTTAGCCAGGATAGTGTCCCCACACGTGACACAGCACTGCTGCCTTCCTCCTGCTCAGTGCAGGAAGGGGGAGATGGCTGCAACCCCTGCACCTGCAGGGCCCGGGAGCAGGCAAAAAGTGGCAGTACAGCCCTGTGGCCCTGGCCACAGTCACAGTCCCCATCTCAGCCTCCCTCTTGCTGGGGCAGCCAGGGCAGCTCTGCAAGAGTCTTGCTGACAGCAGCTGGCTTCTCCATGTTTAAAGGCTGGTGTGCACAGTGTTGGATGACCATACCCAGCTGAAGGCAAGGTTGGCCTCATACCAGAGTCAGAAGATCAGACCAGCAGAAAACTCGTTTTGCTCCCCATGTCATGAGGCTCTGCTTTCTAACCTGAGAAGGCAGCAATTCTCCAGGATTCGTAAGCTGCTGCAGATCTGCGGGCAGCCATCAAGCTGGAGAAAACTTCTTACTTCATCTTCATAGCTAAATTAAAACAGGAAGAACACTTTAATCTGGTGTGCTCCATAACACATTTAACAGCAATAGCAAACTAAAGAAATATTCTGTGATTGTCTTTTTATCTCATGGTTTCAATCCCCCAGGTGGGATCTACAGCATGACAAAGTCTCTGTCCTGCCCAGCTAAGGGGGAAGACAAACACAGGAACAGCAGGGAGAGCCCTGGAGCTGCCTGGGTACCTTTGCCAGGGACCAAGAGGCAGGAGGTTGATTTGCAGCACTTCCTTCTGGGAAGCAACCCAGGCTTTGCCAATAAAGCTGCAGAATAAAATCTCTTGTGTATGAATAACCCACAAAGTTTCTGAACTGCTTTGTCAGTCTCAGTCTCACAAAGGGCTTCTGGACAACTCCATTTTATAGGAATTTCCTTCCTCTCATCATGTGGAGGGCCAAGGATCTTAAATCAAATCTCCATCTGAAATACTACCTAAACCAGCAGTCCTGGCATTTTCTGCTGCGGGGGATACATGGGGAGAGAAATACCCAAGAACAAAAAGCAGATGAAGGGAGCCAGAGGAAGTGGTGAGAGGCCAGATGACAAGACATTCATTCTGATGTGAGACCCAGGACAGAGCAGATCTCTCCACCAATGTTACCAAGCAGGAAAAGAGCATCCTTCCTACCTCTCCAGGAACCTCAGGCACTCCTCCAGGCACTCAGCTTCCACCTTCTCACTGAGGCTCTCACTGACTCGCCTGGCAGCCTCTGTTTTCTCTGTTAGTATCTGTGGATTTCAATGTGTGAGAGGAGAACTGGCCAAGTCATTTATTCCCTATGCAACGAACAGGAAACCATCCCACTGCTCACCCTGCAGAAAATTCCTCTGCCGTAGGCACCAACTTCTGCATCAGTTTTAAGAGTCCTCATGGAAATAAATGTATTTTTCATCAGCCTTATTGTAATGCCTCACTCTACACTGGTTTTGTTGTGGTCAGCAGGCCTGTGCTTGGGTAAAAGCCTGTCCCTGCAGATATTCTCTGATGGCCACATCCAGCCTGGCAGCTCAGCTCATACATGGACCTGCCATCTGCAGGAGCATCTGTGCTTCTACCTGACTCACCCTCGCAGATAAATTTGGGTGCAGCCACTAAAAAGAAGGTGATGCAGATCTAGCTGTGTGCCCTGCACCTCTGCTAGGGGCTCTACATGGGATGCTTGAAGAGGGCAGGTGTCACCTTCCCAGCCACCAGCACTCACGCCTGCCCCAGCTCTGTGTGTTAAACCCTACAGCACATGTCCTGCCCCACTGACCCCAGCTGGGTGGCCCAGGTGTCTGCAGGAGGTGGGCTGTGCCAGACAGCTCAAAATTCACCCCATATCGGGCAGGCTTGAGCAGGTGGCAACTTAATGCTGCCCATTAGTTGCTCTGTGGAAACAAAAGCTTGTAAGGGAAGGAGAGCCAGATGGATAAAAGGAAACAGATGGACCCATATGCTGTGCCCTCACAGTGCTCTCAGCCAGAGACAAAGGGTGACTCACATCATGAATGGTTTTTCCACTGCTTATAACAGATGCAAAAGCTCACCCAAAGGGGCTGGATAAAATAAACCATCCCAAAGTGTCAGAAAACCACAGCTGATAAGTTTCCATGACACCTTGTTCATTTTCTATCTGAAGTTTAAGCATCAGCCTGAGAAAATTGAGGAGGTGGTAATTTCATAAGGCTTTCCTATTAATCCAGGCTTTTCCGTCACCCACCCCAGAGCATTCAAACCTGTCAGTTGCATACACAACAGAGGGAATCCACTCATGCTGAAGCATGGCCAGATGTTACAGATATGAGGACTCAAACCATGCTTTGTCCTAGTTCCTGTTAGAAAACTTTCCACTCTGAGCCAAGAGCAGGAAAAAAACCATCTTGGTGACTGAACATCACCCTAGCACAGGTACATCACTGGGCACATCACTGCTCCCTTGATCCAGCAGGTACAGGGCAAGGCAAGGAGGAAACAGTCCCTGATGTGTGCTCTGCATTTGGTGCTTGGGTCTCAGATGGGCCAGAAAAGCCTGTGCTTGCCAGCTAAAGCTGTATCCTCACAAGGAAAACCAGCTGCTGCTGATCTGCAATGCTTCCAATGCCTGAGGCTGCCTGCCATCCCAAAGGACCATGGAGCTACTTCCCTCTCTCATGGCCTGAAATGGGACTGCCACTGGGGTGCTGGAAACGGAGAAGAAAGACACAGTCATGACAGCCCACAGCCATGCCCCTGATCTCCAGCCTCACTTAAGCCCACATGTAAACTCCAGGATTTATTTAATCCTTCTGCAGGTCGTGATCCACACACCCTGTGCCCACAGTACATGCTGCTCACGAGTCAGCAGGGTGTGCTCCTGCAGTGCCCTGGGAGCACTCACCTTTGCTGCGCTCTGCAGAGCCCCCGCTCTGCCCGGGGCAGCATCCCAGCAGGGACAAGCAGGGAGCAGCCTGCCTGCGGTCTGCACTGCCAGCCAAGGGGCCCTGCCACGGCTCAGCAGCTCTCCCTGCTTCTGTAAAAGTGCTCTGCAGAGCTCACACAGAGCAGCCTGGGTAACACACACCACGACTTTCCAAAAGGTTACATAAAGATCCAAGAGTGTGTATGAAAATGCAGCTTCAGCTTGAATCAGCTCAGGCTTCTCTTTAGTTTAGTAAGAAGGTGTTTTTTTCTTTATGTATGCCCAGGGCAAAAACAGGTTTGGGAGCAAACAGACACAGCTTAAGTATGGCAGCCAGCTTGCAGGCTTAACACACTGAGCTTAGACTGGGTCTTGCCAAATACCCGCATGCTTGTGTGCAAAAACACGACTGCCCCAAAGACTGGGAGCTTTTCAGTTCCCCCCAGTTTACCTCAATGACTGCAGCGTCTGCACAAGGGGGTTTCCCAAGATCAAAGGCTCCTTTCAGCGCTTTCCCCACTTCCTTCTAAATGATAAAAGGAAATTAAAAGTACAGTTAAGATACAATGGCATTCATAACGACTTAGATTTCCCAGCCTCTCATTATCCATTTGGGCTAGATGAATTTCTGCCTCCATTTTTTGGCTGTCTCATTTAACCCAAAGCCTGGCTATTTTCCAGCTGACCCAATAACATTGCTCTGTTTTGTTCTACATTGTTTGTTTGAGTTTAAATGATTTGCAGCTTTCTTTCATCCCAGTGTCAGCTTGGGTTATCTACAGTCTTCCCTAGTTAGCTTAGCTCAAGTGAAGGCGCCCACACAGCAAAACAATGCTTAGATACATCTCCATGCCGCCAGCTACTGTAGCTGAGATTTTTCCACCCTTCCTCTCTTCAACCAGCATCCACAGAAACCAGCCAACATTAATTAAAACCATTCCTTGCTTGAGCCAGGGACTTGTGAGTGCAAAGAGGAGCCAGGTTAGTGTTTAGAGCTACTGTCATGGTGAGATGGGCCCCATGGGCTGCACGATGGGAAATTTCCCAAGACTTGGCTGGTTTATGCTAGTTTGAATGGCTGTAAAAACAAAACTAGCACTGCAGAGAAAAGGCTTGTTGCTTAAAACATGATCTGACCTTTATAGAAGCTTTAAACTCAAAAGTCTGGCTTGCTTATTTATTCTTTCATTTCTGAATCTTCCTCCAAGGAATGTAAAGTCTGATGTCCCATTTTGGTCTTTGTTCTTTTCTGGCTGATGAATTAGGAAATTTGTAGCTGTCAGCTGAAGAATTTCATCAAAAGTATATTCAAAACAACTCCTCTCCCATATTCACTGAAAAGTGTTAATCAAAGACAAATAAGCAGTTGTAAACAACCCAGAAAAATTTCTTTCCTCACAAGTGCCATCACCTGACTGTGAGCAAATGTGTGAACACTATGTGCTGAGATAGCACATCCCTGCTGAGCTGCACAAACACTTCAAGCCTGCCCCCCACAATGGGACAAAGCATGGCTTAGTGAGGAACTGCAAGGCAATTAATAACTTGTTGAGGACAGCACTTAGTTGTTTTGGATCAGATTATGTGTCTGCATTAGAAACAGCCTGCTTGTCTGTAGCTCTTGTTGTGATACCAGCACATCAGGCACCAAAGCTCCAATGTGGAGAGGACCAAAACTTCTGCTGTAATAAACAGGCCCAGCTCACTTCTTGTTTCTTCCTGTCTGACCAAAATGTTGCAAGGCTTCAGATCCGTGGATGGTCAGTACACCTGTGCTGACTGCAGAAGACAAAGTTCTCCTTCCTTCCACTTGAAAAAATAGAGGGGTGGTGGGGAGAAGACGGAGAGCCAAGTGATCCTTTGCAGGTCAGTGTAAATGAGTACGAGAATGAGCCCTGGCATCATGCTGGAAGGTCTGCCTTGCACTGCTGTCAAACTCCCCAGTGCAGCAAGAGCAGAGGTGACAGATTGGCAACCCAACTGTTGGCAACAGCATTTTCAGTTCACCAGCTTTGTAACCTCAGAGGCACAAAGCTCCCCTGCCCCAGGTGTGTTCAGATTGAGGGGAATGCTGCCTGCACGCAGAGCTAACCAAGTTCTCCACACTGGAGTTTCAAAGTGGTTTTGAACCCCATGTGACATCTGGGGTTCAGCACCTTCAGATGTGCTCACAGTTCTCCCCACTCATTTCTGTTTAAAGTGCTTTTAGTTTACACAGATATTAGGCTGCCACACCCAAAGATAAGCCAGGCATTCATAAGAAAAGCAGACCATAGCTTATTCTGGGCAGGATCTTTTCATTCTGAAATTTTAGTCATCCATTGAAGTGACAAAAAACACACCATGTGATTTAGGCACAATAATATATGACAATTGCTAAGAGATAATGGCAGGATATTTGCTCAATAACAACTTCCTGTATATTAGCTTAATGAAGGGCTAAATTACCCTAGAAGCAGAAATAGAGGGATAAAGCAGGTTTTATAAGCTGTACCACTGAGCTGAAGAGACATCCATGATTTTTCCATATGGAGTCAGCTTATGTCCACTTAAGCTCATTAGCTTGAATCTGGAGCTGTTCCCAAGCTGGCCAGGTTTGAAGCGAGCTGGGGCAGTGCTGTGCTACACTGTCCAACACTTCCAGCTCTGTTCTTTCTGTTCAACTCAGCTCCACATAGAGCTGTGATGCTTCAGGATCCAAGGTGGCATGAAAACTCAGGGCAGCATGGCACAAAAGCTTATAACCAGATTGAGGTGAGCCTGCTCAGCACATGGTGTATCAGGAAAACAGAAAGCCCGTGGTTAAGCAAAAGCATTCTTCAGCTATTACATTAGAGACAACCAAAAAAAAGTTACATTTCCCATCACCATTAGTCAGCATCTTTGAGGGCTTGTCAATGACTCAGTGACTTGCTCTAGGATAACCTCAGTGGCACTGCCCTGAGTTAAGTCACTTCCTTCATTGAAATAAATGCTAAAAAAAGAGCTTGAGAACACATGGTCTTCCCGAGGGTAATGATTAAAAACAGCCCATAAAGACACTTAAACACTGAAACCAGTAGGCTTTAAGCATATTGTCACCAGCTGGCACTTCCACTCCCATGTTTGTGACTACCTTCATGTTCTTCAGGGAATAATTCTTGAGGAAAATCTCTGCAATTTAGAGTACTTTCCCAGGGATGATTCAGCAGTTTGCCATGGAATTTCCCCTCCTCTGCTCCCCAGGGGCTGGTGGAAATGGAAGGCAAGGGAGCTGAGTGTGGTAACTCCTGCTGTTGCATTTCAGCTTTAGCTGAATAAAAGAGGCCCCGCTGAGCTTTCCAAATAATGTGGTTTCCTCTGGAACTCCCCATTGCTACAACACATCTTCCCTGCTTCATTTGCATTCCACATGTCTCAACAGAAATCTTCAAAGAGGAGTCTTTGCTGAGAAAAGAAAGAGATGCTGCAGCCACAGCGTTGGGGTCACCTGTGGGATCACAAGACAGGATTCTCTGTGGAGGGCTGCTGGGTGGGCACCAGCTGCACATTTTCTTGTGCTGAGTTCTGGAAATAATCTTGCTCTAACATCAGCAGTGTCAGTCCAACAGGCTGGAGAGGACTGTGAGGGGTCCACACACAGGCAAACTTAGCAGCCTCAATATCCTGCACAGCTGAGGCAAAGGGGCTGTAAGAAAACCTAACTTTGCACACTTTGTTAATGATGGGATCATTAACAGATGGAGAGAAGATGAATAACATTTTGAACCGGCCCTCAATAAGGAAGTGGGTTTCACCCATAGTCTCCCTTTCCTCCAGATAAAGGGGCTTCTGAGCAGAGCAGATTGCAGCTCTCTGAATAGACAGCAGTAGGATGAAGAGAGATTTGCAAGTGTGCCAGCATTTCCTTGCTAAGTAGCAAGGACAGGGCAGCCTCCCTTTGGCAGCAGAAAATCATAGATCTTCACACATGGGCTCTGCAATGAAACTTGGTAAAGATGGAGACCTTGGGACTCACACATGCCTGAGCAGAGCTGGCTATTTAACAAGAGCACCCCTTAATTTAAAACCACGGGAATAAAACCAGCAGATTGGGGTAAAACTCCTGAATTCTTACCCGTGCAGTTGCAAGTAACTTTTCCTCAGTCTTCAAAAGAATCCACACGAGGCACTGTGCACCAAGGGAAAGGCTGTGCTCGGGTCTCACACATGCCTGGCTGCCTCTGTGTGCAGAAACAAGAGCTCAGCAGAGGGGCAGCTTCCCGCGGGTCCCCAGCGTCGCCTGCCTGGCACCCCTCCTTGGCACCACAGCCTCACACTAAGCAAACAGGGTGCCCTGCAAGAACCCAGCAGTGCTTGCCAAGCTTGGGCAGCCACAGCACAGTAGATGATCTTGAAAATGGCCTTTTGCCAGTTTTTCTTTTGTGCTGTTTCTTCTCCTTCTTCCTATATTTGCTGCCCAAGTTGAGGTTTATGCTTGTTCCCCTCTCCCCTTCCCTCACTGCTGCTGCTCAATTCCTTCTTAAGCTCGGGGAGAGTCTCCCAAGCACACTTACATGAGTGCACAATTTTGCAAGTGTCACATACTCTTTCTGAATGGAATAAGAAGCAGCTATATACCAAGACAACTGAATCTATGCATGAGCTTTCATAGAGGTTGTAACTGTATTTAGAGAAGAAAAATCAAATGCTGAAGTTTGGCATCTCTGCTCTTCTCATTTCTACTTTTTTCATTACCATCTGACTAATACAGTCACTGCTCTTACTTGTTTGGGTTTTGGGTTTTTTTCTTGAAGGGATTCTGCATTTATATAATGCATTTTTTTTTCCTATATTCAACTTCTCTTTATATAATTAAATTACATTATTTTTCACCTCCACTTTCATTAAGGTTTTCAATATTTAATAAATCCATTACTCCAAAGTTTTACTATTTTAAAAGCAGCAGTAAAAGGGATGCCTCCTGACCACATCTACCATGCGCCTGATGAGGTCAGGGTGTACCCACCACACTGTTTCCCTCCTTCGGGAGCTGGCTGGGTGAAGGGACTACCTGATGAACTGCTAATGAGCTAATCAAGGGTTTATAAGTGTAATTAATACAAGGAACAGAGAAGCTGTGGGCTTGGATGAAAGCAATCAAATAATCCAAAAAGGCTAAGAACTATTAGGCATAAGTAGATTGGAGCTGCCAAATAGCAATTAAACCACGGACACAGAGAATCAAACGCCTCATCTACCATAATAAAAGGAATCACAAGAAAGTTTCAGGCTTTGATGACACCCATAGGCTTTGAATTCACATTGGGCCAAGGGGTCCCAGATGTGCCTTCAGAGAGACTCTTCAGAGAGAAAGCCATGTCTGTTTCCCCAGACTTGGGCAGGAATTTAATGATCTGTTCCTTGTTTTTCCTGTGATCTGAACACTAATGAAGGAAATACAGAAACAGCTGGGAAAACTACAAGCCAGATAAAGCAGTGGGAGAACTAAGGGTGAAACGAGAAATCCATAGAGCACCATGCTGACATAAAGGCCAGAGAAAATCGCGAAACAAGAGAAATCCATAGAGCACCATGCTGACATAAAGGCCAGAGAAAATTACTCTGGGGTAATTGGAGTATTATGGACCTTGTTAAAAAAGGCTTGATGCAAGGAAAGAAATTGTTCAATAAATCAGAAAACTGTGCATGTCCAACAGCAGTCCAGCAGAAAAAAAATCTGCCCACCTCAGGTAAATCAATGAATCTGGTATTAAGGATTTAGAAAGAGGCAATACTGCAATTAAAAAAGGCTCTGCTTCTGAGAGCACAGAAGATAAAAGAGGCAGTGGGCAAATTTAAACTCAGCAAGAGTCCTGATCATCACTGTGTTATCAGGAAGCAGGGACTGCTCTCAGAAACAAAAAAAAAATAGAGATATAGAAAAATGTAGGGAAAAAAGTCCTTCAGACATACCTTTTGTACATTTTAATGCTCCATCCATAAATTAAAAGGCTTTGGCTGAAGCTGAAACAGTTACTGTCAGTAAGTGTGGCAAGGTGAGAACACAAAGAGGCGTGACAGCAGCGGGCGTAGGTGACGAGCAGTCCTGCATCCCTGAAGACATCACTGCTGTGCTCCAGGCTGGGGAGAAACTTCGTTTCCAGCTGACTCAGGTGCTGGTTTAGTGCAGTCTCATCTGTGTCACTAGAGGAAGCAAACGGGGGAATCTGGGCTGTCATGTACTGAATTAGCTTTTCCTCCAGATCTTTTCTCCAGAAGTTTGGGCTCCAGGTGGAAACAGGATCTGTCTCTAGGCCGTTGCCAAGCCGCTCTGCTTCCTTCTGCTTCTCCCACTTCAGTGATTCCCCCACTGACTGCAATGGCTCCAGGAGCATCCTATCACTTCCACTGAGTGCTTCTCCCACTACAGTCCACATTCGTTCAGCCAGCAGCACATAAAGTGATTCAGACTTTCTCAAACCATCATTTCCAGAATGCTCCAGATTATGAATTTGATCACAAGCTTCCAAAAATTTTCCTTGCTCAATAAATCTGCAGATGATTTCCTCTGCAACAGAATAAGAACACAACTTGCTGTTTGTTCACTTATCTACAGGACCATCACTTTAATATTCAAGTTATGAAGTATCTAGTTTATATCTATTCCAGAATTCCTCAGGATCTACTCAAGATCAGCCCACTTAATGTCTAGCACTAGCACCTCTCAGTTTCCTCAGGGCAAGCACATTTTTGTTCCTAAATTTCTTTCATCCTTTTTCCTCCAGGTTAACCAAGCCTGCAGATTAGTCTGCAGCTTTCTGCCATCATTCCGGAGACCTCCTCATGTGAGCAGTGAAGGTTCATTAATTACACTCTTCCTTAACAAGTGTACCTTCTCTCCAGAAGAAAAGGAGCATCTTCTGAACAAGCCAACAGCTGAAAGCCAAGCCTGGAAGGAACTCTCTGCCTCCTCTACAGAAACCCTGGAAGGGCCAAAGTGCTGCAAGCTCCCTTGGAAAGAAAATTTTCAGTGCTGCCTGTTTCCAGTGTATCTCACCTAGCACATGCAGTCAACCAGCAAGAGTTAAATGTACTCTCACAACAGATGCACATTGCTGCAGGGTTTTCTCCATGTATTTTATAGATTACAAGGTTGAGCAATGAAGGGTTAAGGTTTGCCAAAGGTATCTGGAGCAGAGCCCAGAGGACAAATCGAACTTGATGAGAATTCAGGGAAAGTTAAGTAAAGCCAGAAGCAGCGGGACTTAAATAATTCAGGATACAACTTTGGATGTAGAGTGAAGAATGAAAGGATTATGAGCTTCCACTATGTTTTGTCTACATCCTTCCTATCTTTCCTCTATGAAAGCATCCCATATGTGAAGTAAGAATTAAATCAAACAGGACTGGAGGGAGGAACATGACATTAAATGGAGAAGGGTTGATGCAAGGATGTTCAGTAAAACAACTGGCAAGTTATTCAGGAGGGGCCTACAAGCTGCACCCATCCTGCCTCAATACATGCAACACATGGGAAATGTTTAATTGGCACAGCCAGGCTGTGTGCAACCCACCTCCCCCTCCCATCTGTGGAGGAACAGCACAGTCACATGGTTGGGGTGTCAGCCACACATACATCATCATTCTCACAAGACACATCAGGAGTCTTTGCAGAGATAAAAATAAGAACAGTAAAGAGAAACATTTGTGAAGCAAATAAAAAGTGAAATATAGAACTGCCCAGAGTAGCAAGTGTAGAGCTCAGAAGGGACAAGAATTCAGGTGAAGGATGGGGAGGAGGAGAGTGGAAAGCACCTAATCCAGAAGCTGATGAAAAACAAGAGCCTGAAGGATGGGAGGGGCAAAGAAGATCCAGGCCTGGACCCAGAGATAACTTCAAGGTTACCTGCAGGCGTCCCTCTCTCCACTCCTTTCCTACTGCTTGGCCTCTTCAGCAAATTCCCTGCCACATCCTCAGCACCAGCCTTCTCCACCATTTCCTTCCCACCAACCACAGTCTTCAGCAATTTGCCTGCCAAAGTTTTCAATTTCCCTTTCCTTTTTGCCTCCTGCTTCTTTCTCTCCTCCTGTGTGGCCTTGGGCAGTATTCTTGCATTTTCCCCAGCCATTTTCTCCCCCTTCTTGTTGCCTCCTCCCACAAAGGCTGCCCAGGAATGCTTTCTCTTCTGCATGATCCAAGCTGATTCAAGTGCTTTCTGTCCAGCTGGGAATAATATCAAAAGAAAACATGAGAAACAGTTCTATACAAAGTAATCTTAGTGTCTATCTCCTAGAGAAGTTCTCTCTTCTTCTGACTTATTTTTTTTCTGAGCAGCTACAGGCTTCAACTGCCTTTGAAAAAGTCTAACCTGGTTCCTGTCTGTGCCAAGTGAGGACACTTTTATAGGCTTGCAGCCCTATTATGTAATCCTTCCCTCTTCTGGGTAAATAATGTCAAAAACCTCACACATAATCTAACCACAACCACTGGGGGAAAGCCGGGGGGATTTTTAGCATTTTCTAAACTATTAAAATATCCCTGCATTGCCAGTTATCTTGATGACAATCCTATCTGTTTAAGGGAGTTGATTAGTAACAACTTTTATGAAGCACACATCCTTTTCCACCCACCCTGCATGCCCAGGCTGCACCTGAGCTTTCCTTTGGCACGGAGATCACATCTGGGTTTGGAGCCAAGTTTTCCCTGACCTCCCTGCAAGCCTAGTGCCAGCCACCAGGGATGTAAAGGCCCAGAGAATGGGTGTTGGTTTCCATGTTCTAATAACACCCTTCAGAGGAGATAAGAACAATCTCAGCCTTCTGGAATGTGCAATATTCCAGCAACTATGTACACTATTACGTATTATTTTAAATTTATACACACACACACATGGATATAAACAGCATCATATTGGAGCAATCCACCATGTGAGTGTGTGTGTGTGTGTCCATACATGTATGCACACACATGGATCAGTTCACCAGCCAATATCCACAAGTGAAGAAAAAGGAGGTTTGTGTCTGCTTAGCACGAGATCCACATTGGGCTGCTAAAGATTCTGACCATAAACCACAGAAAAAATTCCTCCACAGAAAGTATCCTTTAAATCCAGGAGCTTGCATTTAAAATAGATTTCTTTTAAGTCCATACATTGCTTGAGAACTTGGAGAGGAGTTGAAATGCTGTTCTTATCATGCCCCTCTTGCAAGACAATTACAAGCTGGGTTTAATTCTCCATTCCATTATTATAAAGATTAAATCAAAAAACTTGAGGATTTTCATCAGCTGAGGACAGTTTCTATTAATCATCACAAGCTGTATTGATTCAAAACCGTGCACTATGCAACAATGATTTTAGGCGTATGAATTTAAGGGGTGATTTTTCCACACATCATCTAGACTGTTTCAAGTATGTTAATTCATATTTCTGGGTTTAATGCCTGCAGTTTCTTCCAAGATTTTCTACATTTTTATGATAGTAAAATTCCACTAATTTCCTTCTTGGAAACCACATAAATGTTATGTTGTTCTGGCTCTTTTATCAGTGCTTCATTCCACCAGCATGTTATCACAAAGCTGTTTGATTAATTAGTAACAATAGGGAGGAGGAAGTAAATACATTTCATTTGGAAAGAGAAACAGAAATTCCAGCAGTGGTCACACATTTGAGCTGCTGCCAGTAGGAAATACTGAGGTTGCAAAATACAGTGTTTTCCAAGCTTGTGAATAAAGTTGAAAATTGAGAGGCTTTATACACATTCCATTTTGACCTTAATTTTTAATCAGCTGAAGTTAAAATGTTTCATTTGGAATGTTATAGCTGCACAGTATGTGAATACAAAATGGAGTAAGAGGGTCAGTACTGAGAAAATTCCAGGCATGCTGAAACCCTTCAGCAATATTTTCCCATGAAAATTCTAACACAATATGTTTATGTTTCACTTCATCAGCATTTTTCCAACAAGTCTGTCTCTAACAAAAACCATTTCCCTAGACTTCTCTCTGGAAGGAAATTAGATGTCAAAGTGCCAGTCCTGAAGGCAAGACTCTCTGCAGTACACAGATTTTGAACACACTTACAATTGCAGATCGTGCCCTAAACTGTGGCAGCATGATGTGTGGGAATTGCAGTGTTTTACCAGAAAGCCTCTTTCAAGGGAATACAATACAAGCCTGTGGAAAGCAGGGAGTGACAGCAGAGATGGACTGACATCCTGAGGCTAGGACCAACTCTTATTCCATGGACCACTTGATCCATCAATCAAGGGAATGTCAGGCACTCTCCAAGATGAGAGGGCAAGCAGAGGCAGAGCAGCCATGCCTCCAGCAGCAGGCAGCCAGGAGCCCCCTGTGAAGGGACAGCAGGGCGGGGATGGTCAGTCTGACCAAGGTGCTGAGCCCAGCAGCAGCAGGGAGTGATGCCCCAGCAATCCCTTGTCACCCACTCTGCACCCCTGCCCACAGTGGCTTTGGGTTGGAGGATGTTGTCTCCGGGGGGAATGCACTCTTGCAGGAAGGGACGTGGCACCAGGGAGCTGCCCAGAGGCCAGCCTGCTTTTCTGGGCATGTGTACCTTAACAGCACACACAGGGGGTACAGGCCTCTCCCCTCTGTCTCTAATGCTGAGATTCTGCAGTTAAAACATGGGAATTATTTGAGTCTCTAGGAACATCATCCAGCACAGGGCTCCCATGGGTGCTGTTATGGCAAGACAGGCAAAGCTCACAGGGAAGATACACCTTTACATAAAAGTGTCGCGATCAAACTAGAACAGAGGTTTTTCACAAAGAGTTTCCATAATGCAAAGGGGATTGTTTACTGTCCAAAACCATTGGTTTGGGCAAAGGAACTGGTGCACAGCCACATTTTATCTGCTCCTTCCATGGGCTCCTGAGCTGCTCACCCAAGGGGAGCCATTCCAAGGAAAGAAGGGCAATAGGAAACCAGAAGGACACAGGACCAAGAACAAGGACAGTTCTGCTTCTGAACAAACTCCTTTGTCAGGTGTACAAAATGACTTTCTTCTTCCTCCAAAGCCATTTCTTGGAAGCCAGCCCGCTCCTTCTTCCTGGTGTTTCAATGCCTTCATTTATCCACAGTGGGATTTTCCTAGCAGGGTCATTTTCCCTGCCATGACCCTTACTATGCTTACTGTGAAAGAGAAGCAATTTGTCTCCTAGGAACATCCTCAGCATTCAGGAGTTTCCCTCATTTCCTGGAGCTCCTAGAAAAGTCCACAGCCTCCCCACATCACTGAGACTCTGTCTTCCTATCTCAGAAAAACTGTAACTCCTTTGTCTTTGGGATTTTCCATTAAACAAGTGAATATCTTGGAGAAATTTTTATATTGTTTCCCTGTTGACTTAACTCTTTATCTTGCTATTTCCTAATTCTTCTGCCTATATAGATAAAATCTGTTCATAACAAGTGGATTGTGTGCCTGGCTTGAACAATAGGTGTTTGGTCTTCATGTTATTGGATGAAGTCAGACTATTAGCATGACAAATTAAATGACTTTGCAAGAGTCCAATTACATTAATATTCCAATTCCAGCAATGCAGTGATGCCCCTGCTTGCTTTGCAGAGATATTACATGAACACAGTCAGGCATAGACAATGGAAACTTTGTGTTCAGCAGCATCTGTTATATGAAATACACTTGGTCCTAAGAGGCAGGCGGATTGCAGTATCTGGAGAGGTTTTTCACCTCCCTCTTTTATTTCCAGAACATGCTGGTACTTTCCACCACTTTGAACCAAAGGCATGAAACATGGCAGACAGGAATATTGATTATGATGATAAAACGTGCAGAGTATGGCACAGAAAGATGTTGGACTCCTAGGATGTAAAACCACTCTGTGAAGCTATATTGCAGTCAGACAATGTGTTCCTCCACTCACACACAGCACCTTTGATTTCATCAGCAATCAAAGAGCAAGTCTCTATTCCAAGCAAGGTAGGGGTTTTTGGAGAGATACAAAACAAACAAACCAACAAAGAAACAAAAGTACCTTCCCCTCACATTTGACACTGCAGCTGGTGTTGCCATCACGGTTGTATGCAAGAGGTGACTTTGCCTACTGTGCACAGTCAGATGTTTATTGTCCTGTGAGAAGCATACATTAATTCTTATTTCCTAAAGATAACTCCACTTCCTTATGAAACAAGACAACACAGCCAGAGGTTGCATGTATCTCTGTATTCATGTGATCCCCTGCCCTAATGCACAAGAGTGGATTTTAAGTCAGTTTTAACCAGTTTTAAAGCCAGTTATAACCAAACTGGCAGAAGGTGGCTCACACAAAATAGTATATCCTTACACTTAATAAACATCCACATCTGAGGAGAGGATAGACCTTCGGTGCCCTGGCTAAGGAAGAGAACACAGCATGAACTCAGCCTTTATTTCATATCAGAGGCTCCACCCGGCAGCGCAGTTGGAAGGTACACAAACATGGTTTTCTTGCCTCTGGTGCTCACCAAATCCCCTGTACTCTCCAGATGACCTGTGTGCATGTGCAAATAAAGCAGCACAAATATTTAATACAGGCAGCCTCTCCTATAGCAACAGATGAAACAGAGTTTCTTCCCTAGAATGATTCCCAGCCCCAGGCTGCAAACTCTCACTGCCTGAGATCTGTGCCACCCCAAACATGGCACTGATTTTGGAGCAAAAGGGAAAGAAGAAAGCTTCTTCCTTTCTCTTCCTGAGTGTGTTTGCTTGAGTAGCCTTTCTCTGCTCTGGCACTTATTTTTATCCCATTTTGGAAGAGTTAATCTGAAACATCTGTCCTTCTCTGGATTTATCTGAAACTGGAGGAATTTGGTTTACGAAGAGAGGACAGGCAGATGGATTGACAGAGATGCTGCATGGTCCCAGCACTTTCAGCAACTACACTAAAGCCCAAAGAATAAGTTCCCCGAAGAATTGGATACTGCTCCTTCCCCTGCCCTGAACACTGAAACATAACATTCATTGGATGTGATATAAAAATTTTGCACTGCGTCTGTTTTTCCTCTCATTGTAAGAACCCCATTTCGAACTGACCTCAATTTTCACTTAATTAGTAGCCTACTTTGCTGTTCCTTTAGAACATTTTTAGCTAATTCCTGGGGATTTTGCCTAATTATGTTTTTACTTTTCAGAATGAAACAAGCATTGCTTTGAGGAAGATGCTTCCTCTTTTGACAAAAATGGCAATAGCAGCAATAATAAATAAAAC